GGGCGGGGCGAGGGGCTGCGGTCGGGAGCGAACGGGTGGAGCTGGAAGGGGGCGGGGCGGATGGAATGCGGAGTGGGCCGCCATGGGCCATGCTGCTTCTGGCTCTGCCCCGCCTCCGGGCGTCCGAGGAGCTCGAGCTCCAACGATTCGACAAGGGAACATTTCTTTTGGTCAAGGCCGTCGGAGACGCATTCGCACCAACTAAAAAACTTTTGCCACGATAGTCTGCTACCACATACCCTTCAAGGGCACAACACCACATCAGAAAACCTTTGCTTCATGTATTGTTAATCTCTATGAATGTCATCCATCTACCAATAGCAAAATGTAGCATAATACAAATTGTATTCGTATTTACAATTATTTGTATTTGCCATTCCGTTTCTTTAAGCGTATCACGATTGAAGACGAATATACTAATGCCAATGCCATCTGTAGCACTTGCATGTGTATCATCCTTGGCATTTGCGCTGCCTTGCGAGGTTGGACCTTGAAAGAAATTTCCATTATTCAACAAAGGAAACTTTTATTTTGCAACATTTTGACTTGTGGGACATTTTGAGGGTGTAAATCATTCTTTTCGAAGTGCAAAATAAACAAAAGCATATCAAGACCCATCTTCGACCGAACTCTGAACTTAGCGTTAAATTGTATAAGCTTGGTTTTGGGCGTGAGTAAACATTCAATTATTGTTATTAAGAAACAAAAACACTCGTGCAAAAAATGCACAAGTTATCAAATTGAAAGGCAATATTGTAAAAAATCGATGTCAAGATTTTAACGGAAATACGTTTTGGACGTCCCTGACAACGATAGTGTTATTTTCAAATCTATCTTATTAATCTCACTAATCTATGTTATTTTCTTGTCTATCTTGTCTGTCCCAATGTTTGACCGTCAACACTAAATCTTAAACCAAAACAGAAGTTTTTCTCCAAAATGAATATTTCCTTATGCATATATCACGAATAGAAGTTCTTTGCGAATTTGAAACGAATTTTAATTTTCGGGGTAGTTTATATGAAGCCCCACAGACATTTTCAAAATTTCCACAAAAGTGGCTCCATCTTTCTTCATGAACATGTTTACTAGAGAAATGACAAGAAAGAAATTGTGAAGCTCTCGCAGATTGCACATTGTAAAATTCAGAGAATAGACAAATAAATATACATTTGTATTGTTTTTACTTTGTTTGGATGAGGGTTCTCTAGTTGTACAACGAGTTTTTCCAAGTCTGCCCGTGGCAGGTATCAGCTATTGACAGTTTCACCCAAACAGGAGCTATCGTTCAAGCTCCCGATCGGATGAAACCGTCAACAGCTGAAGCCTGCCAGGAGCAGAGCTGGATAAATCGCAGTGTATTAAGACCCTGTTTAGCGCCCCGGTCCTCCCGCCACGTCACCAACCTCTTGCCACTGTGCTTCCGGCGTGTCTGTATTTCTGGATGGCCCCCTCCACTTCCTGGGCCGTCGGCGGCGCGTAGGCCCAGCTCGGCCATGGACGCCAGGCTCGGAGCGCCTCCGCCGCGCGGGAGGAAGGAAGCGACAAGTCGTGAGGCGACGCGCGCACGCGCACGGAGCGCCACCTCACCGCGCGCCAGCGCCTCGCAGCGCCCGGTGTTTTTGTAACGCACATTCCTGGCCTCGACCCCCACCCCGCGGCGGCGGCGGCGCTCAACTCTGCGTTGGCGGGCGGGAGGCCGTTTCATCATATGCCAGCGATACCCAATTGCGGTTGGTTCTACTACGGGGTCCCTGAGCGCCGCAAGCACTTTCTGCGAGTCCCGCACGTTCGGTAAATACTCCCACAACAAAATTGTAAGTGTTTCAGAAGAAAATAAAGACCAAGTACAATATTATTCGTTTATTGTTACTTGGCGTGGCGTGGGGGCGTGGCGGGGTGTGTGTGGCGTGGCGTGGGAGCGTGGTGTGGCGTGGCGTGGGGGCATGGCGTGGGAGCGTGCGTGGCGAAGGGTCTGGCATTGCGGAGGGCGCTCTGGTCGGCGCGTGGCGTTGAGGGCCAAAGAAGGACAGGGAGTGGTCCGTCTAGGCCACCGCCCCTCACCTCGCCCTTCAGAAGAAAAAAAATACCAAATACAATATTATTCACTTATTTTTATGGAGACGTGGCGTGGCGTGGGGGCGTGGCGTAGCCTGGGAGAGTGGCACGGGGGTGTGACGTGAAGGCGTGGCGGGAGAGCATGTGTGGGAACGTGGCGAAGGGCCCGGCATAACGGAGGGCGCCGTGGTCTGCGCGTGGCGCTGAGGGCCAAAGAAGGGCAGGGAGTGGCCCGTCTGCGCCACCGCCCCTTGCCTCGCCCTTCCGAAGAAAACAAATACCAAATACAATATTATTCATTTATTTTTATGGCGACGTGGCGTTGCGTAGCGTTGGAGCGTGGTATGAGGGCGTGGCGTGGCGTGGGGGCGTGACGTGAAGGCGTGGCGTGGCGTGTGGGTGTGCGTAGGTGCGTGGCAAAGGGCTCGGCATAGCGGAGGGCGCCGTGGTCTGCGCGTGGCGCTGAGGGCCAAAGAAGGGCAGGGAGTGGCCCGTCTGCGCTCGCGCCTCGCGCGCCCCGCGCTCGACGCTCGCGGCTATTCTTGGACGGTGGGGGCCCCCGCGTCTATTTCTGGCGCGCCGCGCGACGGACGCGACACAACGTGTGGGGGCCGTGAGTCCAGCGGAACTGCGAAGGTGGCCGCGGGGGTCGTCGCCGGGCGTACTGACGGCGACGCAGGAAGTCGGGATCGTAGGAAGGTGAAAAGAGTTGCTGAAGTGTTGGCTCAGGTTTTACAATTTTGTTGGTTCCACCTTTTGGAGATTTGTCGAGTAGTAGTTCGAAGTGGAAAGGAAAATGTTGTATTTCGTCTTAATTTGTTCGGTCCCTTGTTATATTTAAACTATTACTTGCAAATTACAGCACAAAATATGCAACACAAAAATGTTAGTTGAAGGTGGAATGCTTGGATGCCAATGCTTCGTTGAGATGTACGTGATCGCGAATGCCTCGTTGAAGTGCACGAGGAGTTAAGTAGGTCGCGAAAAGCGGAAATGAGTTGCATGTTAAATTAAGTTGTATTAATAATATGAGTGCAATAGAAAGACTGGAAAAGAATTACGGCACCAGTCATTCACAATATCGGAACCCAATTTGAGGGACGTTTGGTGTTTTCAAAAATATTTTTCAACTCGGAAGATTTTTACGTGCTCTATGGGAATCACAGTATGAGACTTTATTATTCGCTCAGAATACATACATTTTCTCACTGCTCTTTAGACAATACTCTTAATTGGTCGAATATTATGTGACGATTAGAAGAAATTGAAAAATAGAATGAGCACCAAACGGATTTAGAAACACAGCAAAGGGAAGTGAGTAAATGTAGGAGGAATCTGGCAAAATTGTGTACGTTTTCGGAATTTTTGACGAATACTAATATAATTCGCAGATTGCACATAACGTTGTCGCCTCTTTTTGGATCATAAACGCGCCCTTGGCTCCTCCGAACAGCGCATTTCAGCGTTTTGAGCGGCGCGGCGTCTCTCGGCCTTCGCGGCCGCGGCGCTGGCGCAGGAGAGCGACGCCCTCCCTTCCCCTCCTCCGCTCCCAGGGGGGGGGCCTGCCCTCCCTCCGCCCTCCACCTCGAGTTTCACGGCTTTTCGCGTCGTCCAACTCGCCAGTCGCCCGCCCCCCTACCGGCCGCCCGCCCCGCCAGCCGCGCGCCGCCGAGTGAAAGTGGCGGCGCTGGAGGACGCGTTGCCTCACGCCAGTGCCGGACGTCGTCGGTTCGAGCCCCGCCTCCGCACCCGCCAGCGCACTCGCGGCCGCGCCCCGGCGGAGCGCTCTGGAAATACACTTCTGCAGTTCGTTCGCCCTTGCGAATATACAGGTGCCCGGGGAGGAAACGACGAAACTTCGAAATAAAAGCTCTTGAGACAATGTTAAGTATATTTTGTCCAATAAACCACTTGGATACTCCGAACGGCTAAGCCGCTATAAGCACTCAAAACTTATCTTGAAAAAATGCTATCTGGGCACAAATTTGCATTGCAGAAACATAGAAACACTCGGGAAACATGCTAATTGTTTATTGTTTACAAAAGAAATGAATATTTGTTCAGAAAGAAAAATTAACCCAGGAATGAGAAAGAAGTCGAATTGTGTAAATTGGATGCTTTTCTATTTCTGTGTTAATTTTTTTTCTAAACAAAAAAAATAACGTTTTTTGTATATAATAACAATTTGATTCTTTATAGACTGTTTCTGCAATGCAAATTTGTCCCTAGAAAGCATTTTTTTCAAACCAACTTTTGAGTGCTTATTACCGCTCAACCATTCGGAATATCCACTTAGTTTATTAAACAAAAAATGCTTAACATTGTCTTAAGAGCTTATTTGTGATGTTTCGACGTTTCCTCTCCGGACATCCTGTATAGTATGCTAGCTCTAAATAAAAGACGCTTTAAACGTACATTTGTTTGGTTCTTCCGTCCCCCGGCATAGTACGTAAAAAACTACTAACAATAAAAGTTAAATAATAAAAACAAATACAAAAATGAGAGGCATAACTCTTTTTGCGGATATTTTTTCGGGCTACGACCACTAACAAGGGAACTGAATCATTCATCGCCTCATTGATGTCACATATAGCTGTCGTAACAACTGGTTGTGGCGTCTTCCGAGGCGACGGTGCTGGGACACATGGTGCCCATGGCCACAGCCTCACGCAAAAAACATTTTTTGGAGGTATTTCTTTGAATCGTCTGGATGGACTTGAAAACAAAACATCAGTTCCTCACCAGAAGATCGAGACGCGTCAATGATACCTCATTTGCCTCGATTCGTTGACGGGAAAGAGTCAAACAGTGAGTGATGGACGGACGAAAGGACGCAGGGGCTCACAGAGAGATGCACGCACGTTGCTCCAATAATATCTAACGATTTTGGAACGAAACTTTATACTTGTAGCAAAAAAAAAAGATTTTTGAAACCTTAATTCATAATTCAATTCATGGCATTAAATTTTATTTGGTAGTAACGAAGTTGGGATCACAGACGTAAAGGTGAATACAAAAGAGAATTCTTCTGGTGGAATACAAAAGAGATTAGTGACAGGTTTCTTTTGTTTGGGGTCGTTACGTCAGGGTTGTAATCCATTTAGCCTCTTCATTTTCTTTCTCGAAATCATGTTCTTGTTTATTGATCGTTTTGAACATCTTAGCAATATACCAACGAGAAAAATTTTGAATGTGAAAATCGTTGCATGATATTAAATTTGTCCTTGTAATTATTCCACTATTTAGTTAGAAAAACGAAATACTTTTGCGAATTTTTAATGTAATGGTAAACGAACACTGAATAATAGGAGAAACTGCCTATGAAATAGAAAATACGTTAGCTTAATCTTTGAAAAATAAAATCCATTTTCTTCCAAATGTTCAAGCATGTACACATATCTGATTATTAGGGGGTGGATTTTCATGACCTAAAACATCGACAAAAATCATCAGTACATTGCTCTTAAAATGTTTTTAAAATGCCGTGAAACCGAAGAAAAATTACATAAAAATATTATGAAAACCATTTCCGAAGAACAACTGAAGCTATTGGATACGTTACTGGCTTCCAGGCTTCTTCTATTCCTTTAAGTTAACTCAGCTTTCAAACACTCTTAGTTCGGACTGTTCTGTACCAGGAAACCTTAGTCTTTAGATATCCCGAATTCGACTGAGCCAATAATGGCACTGATATGCGTCCCAGGAACGTTAAATTACATACTCACACCGGCTGACAATATAATTTCTGAGCGACCAAATCTAATAGGAATTCTGTGGAAAACATTTGTTGCCTCTCATAAATATTATTATTATATTAAAATTTATGAAATCAGCGAAAAATGCTTTAAAATCACGGAAAAATTATTAGTCGAAATCGACGAAAAATGCAAAATAAATTGCATATAAAAATGGGACATTTTAGTTTGTCATAACATAAAATTAATTTCTATACTACGACGGCATTTTTCTAAAGTAAAAAAAAAAAAATTCAAATCCGCCCCTTCTTCGTTATACTGGACCGCCCATTTCCTGCTCGTTGGCGGGAGTGGCAGCGCCCCGCGACCTTTGCAGCGAGCGTCGGCGCGTCGACATGCGGCGCAGGTGTTTTAGAATTGGCGCGCGAGCCAGGAAGCAGCACCCGCGCGATGCAAATGCCGCTCGCAGCGCCCTCTCGACGCGCGGGCGGGCGCTGGGGACGGGGGCGGGGGGCGGGGGGCGGGGGCCCGGGGGGGCGGGGGGCGGGGGGGGGCTCATGTCCGACGGCCGTCCTCGCGGTCCCGCGCTATTTCCGCCGAGCAAGCCGCCATCTCATCCTTCAGCGACACTCACGGCGCCTCCGCGTTCAAACTTCCGAACAGTACCTTTACAAGACTAGGGCAGTACGGTGTACTAGAAAGCCAAACATGCGTACACGACGCTTCAAGCAACAAAGCAAGGAAAGCAACAAGAAATTTCACCTCTTCAACTTTCAAGCAAACCAACAAGAAATGGAAATGCTATGGAAATCACTGTAAAGACCTGTTAATATTTTAAACCCCAAAATGTTAAACAAATATCAAATATTGTTAAAATATTGAAGGTGAATATTGAAATATTTCACCTTCAGTTTCCCCTCTTCAATCGTTCAAGAAACGCTAACAAGAAATGCAAACTGCTATAGAAAATCACTGAACTGTATATTAACGCAATGTTAATCAAATACAAAATATGTTAAAATATTGAAGGAGTCGCTTTAGGAACCT